AGCGATGGCCCGATGGCCCCTACCCAATAGCAATGGCCTCCAACCTAGAAAGGGAGGAGTTACTCAACAAATTGAAACACCTGTCTCAAGGTGGATGATGACGTCCCGAGCTATCGGATGACGTCAGACCCAAATGGTCGGTGGTGACATCACTCACTCACTCACTCACTCCCTCCCTCACTCCCTCACTCCACTTCCGAAGTTATTCGGAAGTAAAATATTGGAAAGGGAGGAGTTACTGCAAAGCTGCAACAAATATTGAAGCCTGTCACTCCTAAAAAGAGGATCAGTCCTGAAAAGTCGTTGGAGTCCTCAATGTCATAACCTGTTGGCTGACACCTCTTGGAGAAGTGTTCCAACCAGCCTCATGCACATCTCAGAGAAGGAGGACATAGTCGCCCTTCGTATTGCCATAATGGGCATATTATATTCATAGTCACGATCTTACTCAGGCACTCAGGTATGTCACGTAATTTGTGTGGCAGTTCCTACAGAGTGCCTCTGAGGTTGATGACGCAAGCTCCCTGTACTGCAGGAACAGGCACACTTTGAATTAAAACCCCAAAAATGTCTGGGGGAGTGCCCAGACACAACCTGAGAGAAGCAAAGGGTCCGTGTCCAAAAGAAAACACAACAACTACCAGGATCATCCAATGCATGTCCAGGTCCACAAGTAGTGGGCTGGGTAGTCTAATGGTGACTCGGAACGGTTGATGCAGGTAGACTTAGCTAACCCCTTGTTGTTACAGTAAGATACAGTAAGTGTTTTTGGCGCTTGGATGATCCAAGTACCATGAACAAATAGCTTTGAAACATGGCTATAGCTGATCCGAGTTCGGACTGTCCTTTACTTTGGTGGCCACAAATCGTCGGTTGAACTTCGCTTCGAATCGCCCGGGCATTGACCGTCCGCGACCGCCACCGCGACCGCGTCCGCGACCGTGTCCCTCTAAGTCCATCCGACAGGACCGCAGTGGTTGGAAGGTTCACCTCTGCACGCGATGGATGGACTTGGATGGACTTCGGTGGGAAGGACTTCGGTGAACTGCATGCCAAAAGAAGTAAAATGACTGGTGTTCCGTTCAGGTTTGCTGATGATTCAATAGAATACAACTAGAACCCATACTGTGAACCAGGAAAGTCCCAGCAACACGTCGTGGCACATATCACTTCCACTCACAGTGTTCAAAAGCTGCCGTTCGCAGTGTTTAGGGGTTCAGTGAGCTGCGGTTGACCGGGTTTCTGTTGTTCCGGGGCATCTTCAGCTTCCATCTGGAGGATTCGGTCATCCCGATCCCTGAAATGGTCATTGCCGGCCACGATGAGTCTGTCTCAGAATAGATCGCTACGTTCGTAGCTTCGTTCGCTACGTTCGTAGTAATGCCCTTGCAAAAAAGTAGCGATGCCCTTATTATACTAGTAGCTTCTAGCTACTATATAGCATTATATAGCTATGACTCTGACTATTTCAATATTCCATCCATTCTTTTGGGAAGTCATCCATATAGTTTACTCCCCTTTGAGATAGCAAGTCCGGCCTGAACCCTGCCCAGGGTTAGGGCGGTGGAAGGCATTGGGTCCAGCGTGCCCATGCCTTCCGGCCTGTGCCATAATCTTCAAGCTTCCAGCGTTGAAGGTTCGCAAGGCTTCCAGCATGGCCTGTGCGTCGCGTATCGCGTGGCGTTGAAAACTCTTGCGCGTCTGGACGGATGGATTCCCCTGCTGGATGAGACCAAACGGTTTAGCTGTGCATCCAAACCGGATTTTTCTTACTGGATCCCCCTTGCCAAGGGGTCTGAGACATGGAAGCACGTCTCTCTCTCTCTCTCTCTCTTTTTCTTTATCCTCAAAGATATGAAAGCACGTCTTCAAACAGATTGATCGATCAAAACAAGAACATCTGCTCGATCGCACGTTCAGAACGCAACCAGAATCAAAAGTCCCGCACCATTTGCGCCGCGCAAAAGCACGCTGCAACCTCGGGTCGAAGGTGCTCCGTCTTGCCACAGGGTGACATCAGGGTCATTAAAGAAACGAATGCATGAATTGAAGAAACATTGTGTGCAATTCGGAGGCTTAATAAATTAGCTCTGCTATGCATTTAGGAACTTTTATGAACTTTAGGGTGCAGCTTTTCCTTCTTGCACACGACCCCGTATAGATGACCGCGCTCAGTCTCAAGCACTCACAACTAATGTGAAGCTTCAGCAGTGTGAAGGGACTCATTTGCACTCGCAGGTTCATGCTGTTGGGATGTCTTTGGGGAAGCATCAGATGAACTGACCACCGTGAACAAACAATTGCAGATTGTGTATGTGATATAGCTTAAAGAAAGATGCTTAAAGAGTCGAACGAGGCACACAAAAGCTCACAAAAGAATCGCCCAAAACATCCGTCGTCCCACATGTAGAAAGGTGTCAGTCTGTCTCCACGTGACTCCACGTGTCTGAGTTCTGAGTGTGCCCTTCGGCTTCCCTTCGATGGCCTTTCAGTCCACTTCCAGGAGATGTATGCCAACTGATTGGACTTAAGGGGTTGCAGTGACCGGAGTTGCTCAAAACAAACTCTCAGGTCAGGCTGTCCATGTTTAAAGGCCGCTCTGCCCTCCAATCTACTAGTGCTACTAGCAATGGCCTCCTGCCTACTAGTGATGGCCTGCAGCCTCTCTTCAGCACTCTAAACATCTCTAAACACCAAAGAGTCCCTCCAGACGCCCCTGCCGGGAGCATCCAATAGTTCCGCTGCAGCTGCAAGCAGCGCCTGACCGACATGGTTTAAAACAAACTCGTGAACACGAAAACACCGTTTGATATACAGATGATGGCGGCGGAGGTTGGACTCTTGCCCCAACAAAGGTTGGGGATTCGAGTCTGTCACTCCAACACAACATCCCCAATCCCCAACATCCTTTCTGTCGCATGGAGGGCCAAATTGTCCTTGGAAAGGTCTTGAGGGAAACGCCCAAGAGGTTTGACAGGGGTTCAGGACCCCCTTGGATACAACTTGGAGCGAAGCAGAGTGACTATTGCCTGGGTCATCAGAACTTGCAAAGAAATGTTCCTCCAACCCTAAAGACCGGTGAAAATGACACCAAGTTGGAAAAGAAACACGTCCGACTCGTCCAAACTGGACAAAAACACCCAAAGAAACTTCTTCACCCCTCTTCACGTCCGGTTCTGAACCGCTCGGACCGGTTCTGAAGCGAGGTCCACCTCTCTTCCCACGTTACGAGGAACTTCGAGGACCGGGGATCTGTTCATCTGCGGCCGGAACGGCACGTTGATGTGCAGCAGTTGGTGATGAAACTTCGTGAAGGCAAGGTCAGCATTTCCTTCGCAATCGATATGAGTTGGTAGGATTGGACACATCCTGATTGGTCATTGCCAGAGAAATACCTTAAATCACAATCCATGTGCATTCTCTGGTCCAAAACACCCCGCGATCGAGCGCCGACCGGTCGGTCCACCGAGCGTCCGCGTCTGAGGCCCTGAGCGACACGGCGAGCGACTGCGCAGCGACTCGCTCTGCGCGCTCTGCGCGCGCGAAGCCTGAGGCCAGATCGGCCCTCCAGTAGGAATCCCAAGCAAAGGCCCAAAATCACCGAGAGCATGTTTTTGGCCTCAGCCGCAAACGGACGCTGGTCGGTGAAAAAAGAGACACAGAACTTGAGATAGATAGTGAAAAAGAGACACAGGTCACTTGAGATAAATAGATGAGGTGAGGTTGACACATGGGAGTTGGCCGGGTCAAACACTGGTCTTTCAGGGTCATTCTTAATGAATGCTTGTCTTTGCTTGTCCAGAGACTTCTTCGGCTCAATAGCATGAAGAATCAAAGGTGGTGGGTTCAGCACACAAGCCATGCCGGCTCTTTGTCAGTTGACCAAGGTAGAGCCTTAAGGCAAACATTAACAAAGAGACAAACTACAGCAGGACATAGCAGGACGACAAAGTCATGCACAAGTCACATCCAAGTCACGCCTAAATAGTGAATCCCACTCTAAGCGCAATACCAAACACAAAAGATACATTCACCTGCACCGGACATATACCGGACATGCAAGGTACTTGCTACATGGTTCTTGTTTAGAGTAGCTAGCTCCCCCCAGAAGTGCCAATGCTGGATTCAATGGATCCAGCCAGGTCAAAAGCGAAAACAAGGACGACAAGTTAACATGACACCAAACATCTGCACCCACTTCTCATCATCTTGCCCAAACTAAACGCAGGATTCAAATGGATTCAATGCAGAAAGACCATGCAGAAAGACTAAAGTCTATCACCAGAGTTCCCTGGCGTGCCCAAAGGGACAACTTCTGCAACATCCATTCCCCAAGCGATTTCCGATCGCTCTTCGACCAAGGACGAGCTTGACCAACTGGTCCGCTTGGAATACTCTTGTTCATCTCATTTCTGTCTGATGTCTGGCTGCTTGGCCAAGGGCCGTGGTGCATAAAGCCTCAAGCCGACCAACACCACCCCCTGTTCATCCTGCATGCGGAGACCGCGTCCACAACGCGGTTCACAAGTCGGAAATGTGTGTTTAGCAGAGAAAACAGGGCGAAGAAGAACGTCCACAGCGATATGAAGGGATCCGATTGACATCGACCTCACAACCATTGGGACAAACAAAGAGGACAAGAGGAGTCCAGCACTCCAGGAGCACTCCTTCCGTACATTCTGCCGTTTCCTCAGCCCCACCCGGCGCTTCTTCGAAAACCGCTTCTTCTCGCCGATTCCCCCATCCACCACATCCACCACTCGGCTGACTCCCCAAGAACTGATCCCCGAGCCATGTCCCAAACTCAAGGTGACTCCAACTTTTTACCGGTGGCATTCGAAGGGTGTTCAACCTGATCCCTCTGATTCTAGAGGTCCATCTTAAGGTGTTTTTGGGTTGTTGTTTTTTCGCCAGGGCATGCAGCATGCATCAGCCGATCCTCTGGCTCGGAGCCCCGACGCACAAGGCCACAGGTACGAGAGCTTCGCAGCTATGCACGGCAGACCTCGGTGGTGTCCACGCCCGGTGCCAAGGCCGTCTCAATGTGAACACTGCAGAGCTGCAGGGGATCATGTCCCACCTATCCAGGATAGGTATGTTCTTTACTCCATACCCCTTGTTCCGTAGCAGGCTCACAAAGTATGATATAGCACATGTTGACCTGTGCGCAGCTTGCGCACCGTGCAGATGCTGCTTCAGCTTACGCAAGAAGCTTATGCTAGCTTACGCAAGCCAGGGATTGGCTTATGCAACACTGATATTGCAAGTTCGGTTCAAGAAATGAACAGGGGCAGGTTGAACATGCCGCGCCTCAATTGGTCCAAGGAAAAAAAGGAACTCCTGGAGACTCATAGGCACGAGAGATGAAGTGTAACTGAAACCAAAGTACTCCAGGAACATCAGAACAATAACCCAAGAATAAAGCATTATTACTGTGTATAAGCAATTAGGATAATAATGTTCAAACCATGACATGCAAGGATGATGAATGAAGAATGAAGGATGATGGATGATGGGTGATGATGATGATGATGATGATGATGATGATGATGATGATGATGATGATCAAACCCGCTGATGATTTGATAGTGATTGGCTCCATCAACCCTCTCCCATTCTTTTCCTCTACATCTTCAACCACCCGCAAGAGGCGAAGCGGCTGCACACTGCTCACACAAAAGCACCTACGGCACCTGAGGTGACCTAGTGGCCAGGTGGTCAAGATCGATCTCATTCGATCTCTATTATAAAAAGCTAGATGACGGGTGTGTAGCTCCTCCTCTAGGCGTAGGGAGACCTTCTGGGTTCGGGAAATCGACCAGTCTTATCCGGCAAGATGTCAGGGGTCTATAAAAACACAACCCATGGACCTTCCTTTCTCCTCCAACCGACCTTCATCCGCCGTTGGCGTTTCCTTCTCCAAGCGCACCGGTCGCACTCCGCGCCGGTCGCCCCCAGTGACCCGCCGACCGCGCGGGGTGCCACCTGCGCTCCAAGGGGCCAGGAGACCAAAAGGCCCTTCGAGGTGTCCAGCAAGACGAAGAAGAACATGTACCAGGCGATTCGCCTCCAACCGATGGAGGATTTCGAAGAGGTCATATATGATATAATATGATATGATCTCATATGATAAGATAAGAAAAGATAAGAAAGATAGATAGATAGACCTGTTTTGTGTGTGTGTGTTTGCGTTTATTTTTCTTTTTTGTGGTCAGATCTGGATTCGAAAAAGGTCTTGTCTGCTTCTTTCTGGTCCAAACGCCTCTTTTTTGGGGGCAAGGATCGCCTTTGGACGGACCAGTGGTACCAAAGTGAGTTAGAAAGAGAGTTGCTGATCAGTCCATTCCCCAATGGCTCCAAACAGTGGCACTGTCGTGCTTTCGTCTCCCCGCTCAGTTCAGGGTCGACCTGATGAATCCTTGGAGGCGAGAAACTCGAAGTGCATCAACATCGTGGTCTTGCGGTCTTCCAAAAATAATAGTACGAGTCCACATTTAGGATTCTTTGGCCCACTTTGGCCCCGTCAACTTCCAATTTGGCAAGAATCCGAGTCCTGCTCAGCCGCTCAAGTCCACCCCCGTCCACCCCCTACGGTCTGCCAAATATCCCGCTGTCTCAGCTCATTTCTTGGAGCTCTTTTTGCACAACCCCCCAAACAAACACCTCTCTTGCATTGACATTGGTGAAGAACCTCCAGCTCTTGGATATGATACAGTAGGTATTCCATGGTCCTCCTCTTAACAGGGTGCGTTTTTCTTTGAGACAGTTTTTGGTTGAGTTGTGTTTGGAAATTTGTTGTGCGGTCGGGGTTTGTCTATAGTTCCTTCAGTGGAACCGGAAAACAGTTGCGTTTGAAGTTTTTTTTTCTGCAGTTGTGGTTTCTGTATAGTTCCTTTAGTGGAACCGAAAAAAGCTATACAGCTGTTCCCAGAATGAAAGAGTGTTCATAATATGATGCACTTGGGTTGTTCCTTAAGGTGAACCAAAACACAACCACCAGTGGAGCAGAAAACATCGAGTGGGAAAAGCAAACAAGGCCAGAAAAGCAAGCATAAAGCAACACTAACTCAAGGATGGAACACCAACTTACCAAAAGTGAAAGCAACAAGACCATAGAAATAAATTGCCATTTCGATAGGAACTCAATAGGAAAAGCAACACAAACACAGAAAAGCAGAAAAAGCCAGAAAAGCGGGAGTAACCACAAACAAAGCAAGGAGAAGCAAAAAGAGCAGGAGAGGTCATAGAGAAGCAAGGAAAAGCAAGAGAAGCAGTAAGAAGCAAATCCAACAAAGATTCCCCAAACTCAACAAAAAAAATCACCCCAAAAAATACTTAGCCCTCCATTTTCAAGGCTCAGTGTGTGCATCATCGTTTTCTCCACCCTCTCTCCACCTGATTTCCTTCTGTGGCTGACCGATGCCCACCTCAGCTCCGATGCGCATGAAGGAAAGCTCTCTGCTCGGGTCATGCACGCGGTAAACAGGGGTGGTACGTACAAACCCATCGGGGTCGTTGCAAGGTGTTCAACGGTTTTTTCAACGTCTTTTTCGTGCTGTGTTGTGTTTTCCCAAATCAGCGTGACCCACTTCGACGCATCGAAGAGAAAAGCGATACCATGCGATGCCTCTAAATACCTGTCAGGTGCTAGATGCAAAATCTCAGCGGCGATGTTTCTTCTCTTTCGAACGCCGGGGTGGTGACATGGAACATGCCAAAGAGATTCGGCTCTCAACTCAACTATATAATTTGTCATCTTGTTGACAGAATTTATTGCAGCCCATGTGTCCAACATGAACCTCAGCGCTTCAATATCATATTATGAATATGTTGTATCATAACCACTACACTTGACATCAGTCTAACCAACCACCAATGTCAACCCCCTACAACGGGAGAGTAAAGCGGAAAATTCAGAAACCTGTATACAAAACACTCATCATTGAAACTTCAGCTCTGCCCCAAGCTCAGTGCTTCACCACTCGTCTGAGAGATGATGACACTGGGAGCACCTCAGTGTCGGTCTTGGATGATCACTGTGATTCTGTTCAAACCAGGCGTTCAAAGCAGTTCCAACTGCGAGCACGCCAGGTGTGAAAAAGAAAAAACAAGCGGCAAGCGTCCTGCCTCCACCTTGTCTGGTCTAGCCGGTTCAAACAATTTCTCCTAACTGGAACTTGCTGTACCACCAAGCCGACTGTATACACTATCACTTCCTCAACCTACGGTAACCTACACCTCCCTCTGCCAAGTGGAGCAAACCGATTCCAGGTCCCACTTTGTTTCATCACCAGACCACCCGAACCGCAGTGCCGCGCGGGTGCCGAAGCCGTCACCCGGGTGCCGGTCGACCACCCGTCCGGTGGCGTCAACGGGCCGTCCGGACGTCGCAGGGCGCCGCCAGTTCATCGAAGAGCCCCGGCGCTTTGTGCTTCCTGAGGACGGAAGGGCAGCCCGGCGCCGCCGGCGCTCCGAGGAGATCCGCAAGAAGACCTTGTCTACAAGCTGTGTAAGGTGGTTTGGAGCAAAGAACCATGCACCAAACTGATGGTGTTCTAAAAAACATATATACTTAGAGTGCTACATGACAAGAAGAACAACAGATTGTTGACCTTCTATGTGCTTCTTATTGTTGTGGTTATTACATGTGTTTGCTTTTTTGGGGGGAGGGGAGGATTGATTGATTAGTGAAGTTGAACTTGTTTGCCTGTCCTAACGCTTCACAGCAGACCACCATCATCGTGCTCGAGACGATGTTCGACATGAGAAACTCTGCTTACAATCGTCGGAAGCAGCGGAAGTACCTTGGGGAACTGGGCGGTGGCCCAAGGAGGACAACTGCTTTGGACTCCGACCACATGTGCTACGAGTGCTACCGAGGGCTATCGACGCTCGGAGGCGGAGGACCACCTTTCCGTTGGGTTACCGGTTTCGCCCTTTTTTCATGACGACCGAATCACTCACAAACGATGTTCATTGGAATCAATTACCCCACAGAATATCATTGGAGACCGGGAGATATTCTCGGTTATTCTCATAATAATGAATTACGACGATAATTAATAACACTCCCTGAAACACTTATGGAAGTGGATGGCATGGCCCTGGTTTTGGATTTCTCATGTCCGAATACCAAACGGAAGTGGCGCTTGAGCGAACTGTGAACTGGGACGATGATTCGAGGGAGTGTGACATTGAGCCGAACTAAGATGAACGAGAACTACCTTGGCCCGAATCGAGATTTACCGAGCGTCAAACTCTTTCCCAGGGTGCCGTTGCTGCCAGCCACCTTCGGCCTGAGAAACACATACGTCGTCTGCTTAGAAATCAGAGTATGGATAATTTGCTTCAAATATTATTCAAATCAATGTGCAAGCTTGCAAATTTTACACCCAATCATTCTGAAGAAACACACGCACACGTGCGTTTGTGCGGCGCCGAATTCAGTGGACGTCTTTGAGCTTCCCGCGACTCAACGGATTGCAACGGCAGGCAGCATAGCATCTCAGCTAAAATCCGGCTGGCAGGTTGATAAAACAAAACCAATAAAGGCCCTCCAAGATCTCTGAGTGGCCGAGATCCCACGGTATGGCACGGTTTCTCCTCGGAGATACCCCCACTTCTTCCACTGTCTTTGGGAAACGACGTAGGTCGTAGGGTCTCCAAGTTCGCCCAGTTCGAACGACGGCGGGAAGCCCAACATCTTCCATCAAGAAAACCAAGGAAAGCAACGCTGACGCTCTTGACCTGTTTTGTTTTTTGCGTCCTCTTCAAACGCTTGTAGTACGAACCCAAGATCTTCAAGAGGAGAAAGGTCTGAAACATTCTGAAACGTTCAACTCGTCGCGACCAGGATTGAGATGTGAAATTGCAGGTTCTTCTTATTGGAACAGATAGCTTTCAAACCAATGATCTGTAGTGAATATATT